CCTCTCAAACTGTGTGATATGATAAGCACTTTTATAATATATTCTCTTTGAAAATGCTTCAGTAATAACAATGGTAGAAAAGTGACAATCGATAAAGAAACCACGTAAAAGAGAGAAGAAATGCTGTTGGGAATGAATAAAGGTAAAAAAAGTGAGATTTAGCTAAAAAAAAATTGCTAGGATTTTTAACGAGACGGACGGGGCTCTACCTGTGTGCAATTACCTTGATGTTTTCACGGGGCTTATTTAGTCTCCCTTTGTTATATAAAGCCAAAACAATCCAGGATAGAAACTTGGTTCCAAGATATATTGTCAGGGTCATAAGTGTATGTTATTCGATTGTTTTGGGCCCAAGAGGGAGCAAAATTTAGGGGAAGCATTTTTAATGACAAGATTTATCTGCTGAACCCCAATTTTAAATACTCTAAATTGAAATTTGAATCGATATTTGATTTTTTTATGAACATAACTGTAATTGTTAACGAAAAAAAATGGTTTTCTCATGCTTGGTTAAACCTTGATTGTGCCTGCTTCGTCTTCATGCAATTTTTTTTCACGATTTTGGATAAGGCCACATTTTTTTTCTTGAATAGTTTATTTCCAGGAAATTTTTTAAAAAGAGTGAAAATCCCGAATCTTATTTATTTCAATTTCCTGACTTTATTGTGATGTCCGCGAAAGAAATAGCCAATAAATAAATAAATAAACAAATACAAATCAATTTGTCTATGATTCATTGTATATGGTATCATTTCTCCCGTCCTCAAAAAAAATATATATATATATTCGGCAGAAATACCTTCCTCTCATGTGTCATGTCATGTCTATTATCTATCGTGTCCGTGGTCGGTGGTCGCTTCTGATCAGCACTGGGATGTAAATACTCACATTCAATCATTAAAAAAAAAATGGCCATGGCGAGTGGTGTGCAAAATGGCAAAGTACATATATATATATATATATATATATATATATATATATATATATTATATATATATATATATATATGTATGTATGTATGTACATATTCATATATGTATATGTATACATACACACACACCCATTTATGTGTGTGTATGTGTGTGTGTGTGTGTGGGTTGTGTGTGTGTGTGTGTGTGTCAATTTTTTTATGAATATTTTCTATTTTGATTTCCCTCCGCCGACATTTCATTATCACCATATTTGCCTATTCAAGATAAAAAAAAATTGCTGTGGCCTAATGCCTAAACTATACATAATTGTTCATGTTTTGTTTTTGTTATTGTCTATAACAATAAATAAATATATCACTCAATATCTAAATAATTTAATTAAAGAGGCTATATTAAGACTAAATAATTACTTGCGTGTGTGTGTGCTTCTGTGTGTGTTTGTACGCCGAGAACCCACCATCGTTTTGCACCGCTTTCTTCTGCACAGAAGGAAGTGTTTTTGTCATCACTCTAGTCATCACTTCCTCCATGATGTCGTTGATGACTTGCGTCAGCTCCGACACCGTCAGCTGGCCGACGATGTTCAGGGGGTCCACCGCCCCGCCGCCGGCAAGCAGAGCCGCGACAGCCACGAGAACCAGCTTCATCGCCCGAGACTCAGACACGCAAGCCCTCTGGCATCAGGCTTCGCACGCCCAAGGGTGACTGGCGCCGCGCGGGTTCCCTGGCGATCTAGACCTCGTATCGGGGTTGCCAGCACGCAGAGCTGCCACGGCGCGATCCGGTGTCTCAATCAGGCGTGAGTGCCTCGCTTTGGCTCAGCCTACAAATAGCGCCATTTATTCTTCGAGGATCGGAGCACCTTATACCGCTTCGTCTCCCTTGCCTCTTCAGACCCGAAGATGGAATCGAGGACGATTCCGAAACTGTTGTCTCACTTTCATCAATAAATCTAGTTTGTACATTGTGGGTTTTTCTTCCATATTATCAACACGGTATTGTGTTTTTCATTGCACCTCCATACATCAAAGACAAAGAATACGTAGTTATTGGCCCCGTCTCTCCCTCCCCTTCCCCCTCCCTCGTCCTCTCTTAATAAACAAAACACCATCGGCGAAGCGGACGGTGTGATGAGAGCGACCCATGCCGGCCTGCCCACTTACATTCAATTTCCGTCAATTTGAGCTTCCTCGCGGGATTGCATGTAACATTATTTGTCACCTCTGGATAATGCCTCCTGGGGGGCCACGGCTCGCAATGAAAGGAGAAATTATTCTATACCACAAAAAGTGAATGTAATAATAGGCATATTATACTTATATACACACACATACACGTGTGTGCATATATATATATATATATATATATATATATATATATATATATATATATATATATATATATATATATATACATACATATTTATTTATTCATATATATATCTATATGTGTGTGTGTGTATGTATGTATGTATACATATGTATATGTATATATTTTAAGTATATATACATATGTATATAAATGTATATCTTGCCTATATATATATATATATATATATATATATATATATATATATATATATATATATATATGTGTGTGTGTGTGTGTGTGTGTGTATGTGTGTGTGTGTGGTGTGTGTGTGTGTGTGTGTGTGTGTGTGTGTGTGTGTGTGTGTGTGTGTGTGTGTGTGTGTGTGTGTGTGTGTGTGTGTGTGTGTGGTGTGTGTGTGTGTGTGTGTGTGTGTGTGTGTGTGTGTGTGTGTGTGCATACAAACAAAAATATATATATTATATATTATATATATATATATATATATATATATATATATATATACATATATATATATATATATATATATATGTGTATATGTGTGTGTGTACATAAACACACACACACACACACACACACACACACACACACACACACACACACACACACACCCATCTATATATGGGTGTGTGTGTATGTATACATATACATATATGAATATGTACATACATATATATATATTGTAGAAAAAAAACACAATGCACAAACTAGATTTATTGAAGAAAGACAACAGTTTCGGAATCGTCCTCGATTCCATCTTCGGGTCTGAAGAGGAAATTCAGTTCAGTTAGATTTGCGAGGTCATGCTTCGCCCGGGCCTTTCCTCTGGAGTGGCCCGGCCTGTGTCAACTATTTCTAGTTAACTCATGTGTTTTCTTTGAACTGTACGCTTATCGTGGTGGCTGAATTGCGAGCAAGCGATCCAGCTGCCATGGAGTAAGCATGTGGTATACCCTTTTTACCAGCCCGGCGCCTGTGCTGGGTGGTCCCTGTCTTAGAATTTGTGTGTTCACAATTCTGCAAGTAATGTAACAGGGTGGCGTTAGACTCTCCGCAGTGTTTGCATAACCTGGCAGTCTCGTCATCAATAATTTGCCAAGCGCATGGGTAACCTAGTCTTAATCTGTGTAGCATGACCGGTACCTCTTTTTGTATTTGGAGGACGGGCCAGTGGCTCATAGCCTGTAGCATCTGAGTACCACTTGGCAGCGAGCGAATTTGTGACATTTTCTCTGTGTGTTCCCCGGAGGACTGCACATGCTGTAGCTTTGGGACTTTGTCGCGACTCTCCTTCCAGGTCATAGTGTCCGCGCGACATGGAGACCGGGCACCACGGACAGTTATGTAGGTTTCAGTTTTAGTTAAATGTATAGATATGTTTTCCACAATATCGTTTCTACATCAAGGAAATATTGTCTTGGGGGTACAAAATAATTGTATTGGCTCCTATATCTATGACGATTATCATTTGATCAATTGAATATAAATAATGGTAATAATGATGATAATAACAATGCGAGTAGTAGTAGTAGAAATAGCAGTAGTTGTAGTAGTAGTTACAATAAAATGATAATTGCATAATAATAATGATAATAACAATCATAATGATAATGCCAAGAACAAGAGTAATGATGATGATAATTGGTGATGATGATGATGATGATGAGGAGGAGGAGGATGATAGGCCTGATAATAATAGTATTAAGAACTAGAAGCAACCATAGAGGGCATACCACTGCCAAGGCAATAGAATCACTGTTACAGTAAAAATATTCACACTTGAAGAATTACATTATAATCACCTCTTTCTGAAGTACAATGGTGACCGTCATTGTCATTGCGTAAAGTTCTTCACCGACGCTGCACGTTAAGACGGAATCTAAGCTGAAGAACTCATGAAGGCTTTTATTAAAAATAAACAAAAAATAAAAAAAGTGGTTCCGTGGATCCGTGCTTGAATTAATGTAACCGCCAATCGCGGACTTTTTTTTTTTACACCGAGCTAGGGTAAGAACAGAGCACTACAGGTTCCTTAAGACTGTTACAACAATGTTTTGCCAACTTCTGTTCCATGTTGAGCCTAATTTGGTTCAATTTGCATGGGAAATTGTTCTTAAACAACACTGTGAATTACTTTATTTACCTCTTCATCTGAATAAATGTAAAAACCTCTCCACTGTTTCAGTTGTCTAACGTTAGCATCCTTCGTGTGTTTCGCGTTTTGCGACATGAATTAACAGCCAACAACAGAGTATCGTATCATGTTGCCACTGTGATGTAACAGTACAAATTACATGTTGCTTTTCGTTGTTTGTGGAGACAAACAGTGTAGACTACAGTATGAAACGGACGCAGGGAGGTATCTCCAACTTCACAGGGAGAGTGCAGATGACCAGCAGGAGCGTGAGAGTCGGAGTCAGGATGAATGCAGCCAGGTAGCTAACACAGACCAAAATTCCCTTCTGTGTGTTAACCTACCACGTGGTAAAAGTACACCCAGCAGATTTAATGTGGCCAAGAAAATCAAGATGAAAACGTAAATGTGTTAACTGATTCTGGCCGCCCCACTCCCAGATTTATTGTTGTTATCCCTGTGCCCCCGCCAGAAAATTCTCTGAACCCGCTTCTGTCTGGAAGTAGCATAGCTGTGCACGAGATCGCACACATCACATCGTCTACCTCTGCAAAACTGCGAGTGATTACCCTCTCATTCGAAGCCCCGCTCACTGGGAAAGCGAAGTCCCGTGTCAAATGCGTTTGGCGGAATCTTTCTGGACACTTCAAAACTACTCTATGGAAGGCATACCTCTCAAAGTTATCATGTTTATACTATATTTAGTATGATTTTATTTACGTTAACCTGGCTAATAATATGTTTGGATATAAAAGCTCCAACAGAATCTGACACTTTCCGAGGTGGCATTTCCCACGCAAAAAAGAGTGTCTGTCAAACACATTTGGCAACAGCTTTGCTCACCGACGCCCAGTGAGTGAGGCTTCGAATGAGAGGTTAACCACGCGTGTTCTTTCAGGAAACAATGCGATGTGTGCCTCCTCTTCTGCACAGCTTTACCTCTTCCAGACAATGAATCAGTCAACATAACATTGATACAAACTATAGGAAAATACAAATGTCTGTATGAAGCATCGCCTCAGAACAATGAAAAGACTCAGTGGTAGAGTTATCAAAATGTCTCTCTCTCTCTCTCTCTCTCTCTCTCTCTCTCTCTCTCTCTCTCTCTCTCTCTCTCTCTCTCTCTCTCTCTCTCTCTCTCTCTCTCTCTCTCCTCTCACACACACACACACACACACACACACACACACACACACACACACACACACACACACACACACACACACACACACACAAGCATTTTCAGGGTATTACAACGTGCGACTTGCCACCTTGGTGTGAGAGCGGCCTTAACTGGCGGGAAATAGTTGGTTGTTGGAATACATCTAAAAAGGGTTGGTGAGTTATGGACAAGGCAGCTTAGCGTGCAAAGGCATCTGCTTGCTCATTACCAGGGATCCCAACACGGGTGGGAATTATGCAAAACCTGACTGATTTCAGTCATGTAGACAGGTAATACAACATAGCGAAGTAAAGGAAGGAATGGGAGACATGCATTGTGAAGCAAAGTGGATGACAAATAGTGATGTTATAAAGATGTTCGATTTTGGAGGAAAATGCAAGTTGTATTTACAGAAAGGAAAGACTACGGCGAAACCAGTAACTGAAGTGAATTTAGAACTATCTATAAATATGGGTACTGGAGAAGTGAGTAAAGATATGAGCGAGAAAATGGGTGAGAAGAACAGGTTTGTTAACTCAGGGAAACAGACGTGTAAATGCACGAGCAAGGTATCAGCCAAGATGGGAAAGATGGGCAGAAAGAGGAAGAGGTCGGAGATGAGAAAAGGGTGAACGGGAAAGGAGTAGGTAAACGAAGAGAAGAAAATATAGAAAAAAGTAATTGAGGAATGATTCGTTTGGAGAGAGAAAATTGGTGAAAACGAGCATAGCTCCTTGAAGAGAGAAGGGCACGAAGTCGAGAATGAGATGACGAGCCCGATTCAGTGTATGGGCTCTCAACTAGAGAGGATTGGAAAACGCCTGAGATTAATTGAAGACCTCAGCGGTGGATTTTTGTCAAGGTGAGCGAGAAGGGAAGAGGCGGCTGAAGAACGTATACGGCAGCCATAATCGAGAGTATAGAGGATCATGGTAATATGGAGGCGGAGGAGTTGTTTGTAGTATAAATCCTAGAGTATATGAGTGAGAGTCTGCAAGAGCCGGAGCTAACGGCGAGCAATTTTTTTTTAACAGAATGGATATCGTCCCGCCCGAACAGTTTGAACTTGAATGGCACCGAGGAACTTGCCTGAAGGGCGAAATTAGATTGGGGCATCATATAGAGAGAATGGAGATTGGGATGCCATACATGAACAAAAAAAAATGTATGGAGAAGGATTTAGAGGTCGAAGATCGAAAGCCGTGGTCGATGACATAAGAGATTAATGTCATTGCAATCTGAAGAAGCTGGCGGAGAGCAGGTAAGGAAAGGCCTGAGGCATGGATGGTTAAATCACCCACGTACAGGGTGGTAGGGCTGAAACTAATCCGTTTAATAATGTGGTGCTCAGCAATGCTCTGTTGAACACCTTCGAATGGAGGAAAAGAAGGGGAAGTAGAAGCAGCAAGTTTGACACGGAAAGTGCGATCAGAAAGGACTTGATGAACACATACGCTTCCATGTATGCCATGAGGAGATAATTGTCGTAGGGATATTTTGCCGCCTTGTGGTATCATATGCCTTTTCTAGATCAAAGACAATACTGAATCACGACCTAAAAATACCGACGTAATTTGTGTCACGCAGCATCTGTCCTTCAACGGCGAAATTCAAACTGATTTGGAAAAAAAAAAAAAAGTTGAGCCGAGGGTTGAGGCCCAAAATCAGGGAGGACCTAAACATTGGGCCTCAGTCTCCGTCTCCTAAGCAGCCCCCCCCCCCCCCCCACACCGCCCAGACTACAACGGGATCGGATAAAGGCGACAACTCTATGCACTCCGTTGTTTTTAAGTCACATGTAGATGTTTGAAATCGTATTGTCTTTATCAATATCATTTTACTATTATTATCACAATCAATATCATTATTATTATTATTATTGCTATCATTATTATCATTATTATTATTATTATTATTATTATTATTATTATTATTATTATTATTTATTATTATTTACTAGTATTATTTTTATCACTACTACTATATTATTATATTTGTGATTATTGTTAGTATTATTGTTACTGGTACCATTATTATTATTATTTATTATTATTGTTATTGTTATTATCATTGCCATTATTATTATCATCATCATTAATATTATAATTTTTTTTCAAATTATTTGTTTTATTATTATTATTATTATTATTATTATTATTATTTTATTATTTATATATTATCATTATCATTATATCATTATTATTATATTATTATTATTATTTATTATTATTATTATAATTATCATTATCGTTATCATTATTATCATTATCAATATTATTATTATTATTTATTATTATTATTATTTATTATTTTTTTATTATTATTATCATTATTAGAATTATTATTATCATCGTTGTTATTATGATTACCATTGTTAATACCACTGGCATTATAGTAACAATAGTAATAATAATAACAGAGAGGGAAGCGTGAAAAAATAAAAGAAGATGGCAGAGACTAAAATGAAGACGAAGAAGGTGTAGAAAATGAAAAAAAATGAAGATGAAAAAGATGGTAAACATGGAGAAGAAGCAGGTAAAGAACATAAAAAAAGGTGAAGATAAAGAAAATGATAAAGATAATTTAAGACGATGAAGATCATTATTATTATCATCGTTATTCTCATACTCACCATCATCATTTTCATTATCATTGACATTATCATTATTACTGTCATTGTTCAGTATCATTATCATCATTATTGTTATTATTCTCATCATTCTTAATACCATACTTAATATCATTAGTATTATTGTTGTTGTTGTTATAACAATAACAATAATAATGATGATGATGATCATCATCATCATGAAAATAATACCAATAACAAAAAAATAATAATATTGATAATTATATAATAATAATAATAATAATAATAATAATAATAATAATAATAATAATAATAACAAAAATAAAACAAATCAAAAATAATATTAATAATAATCATACTCATAATTATAATAATAATAATAAAAAACAACAAATAATAGATAATAAGAACAATGATAACTATAACACCAACATTACATTTATTTTGAATTCAAATATGCCTTTATTCCAATGAATTACAAAGAACAAGGACAGTTTATTAACAATATTACTGAATATTCATATGTAGATAGAAAGTTTTGCAGATGACAAATCACCCCCAAACATAAAATACAAATCCAGGGAAAAACGTTTTAAAATGTACTTCCTACCAGGTTGAGAGGGCGATCCGTTGGTCCAAAAGCAAACCAAGACAGATGGTACTTCAGTGCTTCTGTACAATATGTATACCTTTTTTGCGACAGATGAAGGTAAGCATTATAGGCTGAATATAATAACTTTAGCCTCATGTGATGTTGGACTACATAAAACTTTCAATTTAACAAATTATTGATTTTTCTAATTATCTGGGTAATTATGAATATGATCACTCTAATCTTAAATCTGCTCAACTGATATCTTAAAATGATCATAGAAGCTGAGATTAATACTTCCCAAACCCACACTTGAAGGGCTCATAATGGATCCTAGCATTTGTGCCAAAGCTCAAAGCACATGTAAACACCCACTATATTGAGAGCATCTATGTTTAGTCTGCTGAAGCTCATGAAGCTGGGGAATTGGGGCTCTACATTCTAGAGAAAAGTCTAACAAATCAAGAGTATTTGGGCCAAACAAGCATTTGTGGAACATTTTCTTGACAAAGGTTGTGATGAAAAGTTGCAGATTACATAGTAAGAGAGGAATAGGTAACAAGGAGAAAAGAAGACAAGTAGGAAAGGAGAGATGGTGTTGGTTAATCTAGGCATCACTGTTCACACTCGTCTTTTTAAGGTAATATTTGAAAATAGACACAATCTCTGTAACATAATTTATCAATATATGAGGTGGGTAAATGTACAGAGATGACATTCCTATGAAATCCTATAAATAAGTACAAAAATGCGTAATGTCAAACTTTCACAACTATCCAGTTGTATAAACCACAACACAACTTGAAATTTCCCAACCAAGTAATAAACATCAAATCTAATATCCCAATGCATTTCTTAGAAATAACTGTCTCCTAGTGAGGAAGAATTCTAAAATCTACTGAAAGAATTAAAATGAAAGAGATAGCAGCAGTTGATTCAGAACCCTGCTCTCTTTTTCAAAATTTCTAGTTTATCTATATGTTACACAATGATATTAGTTGGGTAGGCATGTGGAGCAACAGTTATGGAGAGTTGCTTTTCTTCTAAAGTTATCACATTTATCTGGAAGGTTTACTGCCTTCCAGATTTTATAAAATCTATTGAGGCACCAAATATTATGTATTTGTCAGGCAATCAATGTGTGCTACAAGATAATTATAAATTCTTTATATAATATTCATAAATTCCTTGCATAAGCAACAAATACTCTTGTATCCATTTCACTGTGCACTGCAGACAATTGTTCATTTCCCACTAAACATATTTTTTGAAGAAGAGTTAAGATTAACCCATTGGATCCAGATGCTTCACTACCATCATGTGGCCCAAAATAGGGGCATTAGGCTTACTTGACCAGCCACTCTGCTAGGTGTGCGGCTTGTTGGCCAGGGACATATAAACACCTCTAGTTAGCATCACCTGTCCCTCAAGCCAAATTTTTTTCATGACATGATGATCAGGTCACCCGGATTCTATGGGGTTGAAGAACTAAAAACACTTCTAGCTTCTTCATAGATGTACTGAATCTAAAGTTACTTGCATGTACACAAAATAATTTTGTATCCATTTCATTGTATTTTGTAAACTCATTCAATCCTCACTAAACATAATTTATGATGAAGAGTCCAAAATAAAGAACCAAAGAAAACTTCATAAATGTGCAGAATTTATCAACTAAAAACAGATTACACTTACATATTTCTTACCAGAAACAAGAGTTAAGGGGTTCAAGTCAAAATGTTTTTTTTATCAGACAGGATATAAATAATATTGGTCATCTGGAAGGTTCAAATTTTATTAGGTGAAGTTTAATGCATATGCAAAAACTCAAGAAAGGAAAGAAGTATTACACTAGGCTTGAACTACTTGAAAAGTACAAGACTTTGCATTCTATTAAACATTTTCCCACAAACAAACATCCTCTTTCTGCAAAAATATATACAATGCATTTTATGGTTTATCTACAGTATCTTCCTCATTTTCTAATTTAGACTCGCTTCCAGATTCCTCTTTGTCAGACAAGGTGAGGAGGGTTTTGGAAAGGGCTTTATAAGTAGTTACAGCAGACCCAACAATGCCAGTTACATCAGAAACATTAGCTGGCAAAATTAAGGTGTTGTTCTTAGTAGCCATGTTCTGGAATGCCTGAATATAGGAGTGTGCTGTTGATAACGATGCTGCATTGAGACCTGTGTAATGATAAATGAAATTAGTTAACATGGTTTTTACCCTTCTAAAACTTATATCTACATTTCTCAGAAGAATTTTCAGAAAATAAAACAGTATCAGGCAAACATTAAAACATTGAAAGTTATTCCATACTCTCTAATATAAAAAAATAAATCAAATTTAATAATTCATTGGTCCTAATTGTAATGGGTGTCTTACCCAAGAGAAACAATGAACGTAAGTATCCTCCACATACAGCAAGAATATCAATGTCTTTAAGAAATTTACTTGTATTTATCAAAGAACAAGCACCTACCAGTAAAATGTATATATTCATAAATAATCTTAGCAGCCATGTCTTTACACTGAACATCAGTGTGACTATGCAAACATAATAGGCCTATTGACATTACGGTAAGTTATTCCTAAGGGAGAGGGAGAGGGAGAGCGAGAGCAGAGGGAGAGAGAGGAGAGAGCGGGAGAGGAGAGGGAGAGGGAGAGGGAGAGGGAGAGGGAGAGCGAGAGGGGAAAGGAGAGCAGGAGAGGGGAAAGGGAGAGCGGGAGAGTGAGAGGGAGAGAGGGAGGGCAGGGAGAGGGAGAGAGGGAGGGAGAGGGAGGGAGAGGGAGAGGGAGAGGGAGAGGGAGGGAGAGGGAGAGCAGAGAGAGAGAGAGAGAAGAGAGAGAGAGAGAGAGAGAGAGAGAGAGAGAGAGAGAGAGAGAGAGAGAGAGAGAGAGAGAGGGGGGGGTGTGTGTGTGTGTGGGTGTGGTGTGTGTGTTGTGTCTGTGTGTCTGTGTCTGTGTGTGTGTGTCTGTCTGTGTGTGTCTGTGTGTTGTATCTGTGTCTGTGTGTTGTGTTCTCTGTCTGTGTTGTGTCCCGACCCACTTTCGACCTTTTGAACCAAATGGACGCTGAGTACTAACCTTCCTTATGTTCAAGAGCCTGACTGATAATCCCCAGGGCTTGAGCTTGACCCTCAGCTGCATTGATTTTTTCTATCTTATCAGCTTCTGATGCTAAAATACGAGCTCTTCGCTTTCCCTCAGCAACATTGATCTGAAACATTGGGCACAATAAAGGACAATATCTCTGCGTTTTCTTTTTTCTTTTTCTCTTTTTTTTCTCTTTTTTTTCTTTTTTTTTTTTTTTTTTTTCTTTTTTTTTTTTGTCATACATATTAGGAAGTCAGGGTGGTTAAAAGGAACATCTACAAAAAGAGTTACAACATGCATCATCCATACACATATCTTTTACACACTTAACATTGGTTTCTTTACCCTTAAATAATAACTTGTCATTTTCAGGTATACGTGCACACTGATTAAACACGGCAAGGGTCATCCTCCCAAAACATATAGAGAACAATCTGAGCTCATAAGAAAGTGATGAAAGTGTTAAAATATTCAATAAAGAAATATCTTTACCATCCTTTGCATACATGTAGTCCTACATTTTGTGTTTCTTTAGAGGTTAACTTATTGACACTGGGATGGCAGTAAATAAATTATGTGTTTACTGTCATTTTAGTTTAATCATTTTGTTTACACATAGGTGGTTTTCCAAGACCTTAGTAACTAAGGAGTCAGTCACTAGTCCTACCTACCTGACCTGTTTATCCTTATCCTTGATATTCTGAAAGATACTTTTTTATCTCTTTGTTGCTTAAGTATTATAATAACTAAATAATAATCATAATGTTAATAATATTAACAATATCAATATCAATAGCATTAGGAAAAAAATCAAGGAATGCGGAAACCAGGTGAGATTGCACGTTGCCAATTCTTTGACTTCTTGGTAACAGAGTACTTGCAGAACCACCTATGTCTAAACAAAATTCACAAAACAGAACTACAGTGGACAGTACACCTATCTGTCTCCAAAAGGTTGAGTGAAAGTGAATACTAGTGAACTATCCTATGATAAAAAAATCAATCATCACAAACAATAGAGCACAGTAAAAAAAAATATATTTATCTATTTTTCAAATTATATATAAAATCTTTATCCATTTTCCAAAATATATAAAGAAAATATATAAACATCTGCACTTCACCTCAGCTTCTCTCACTCCCTCAGATTCAAGAATGGCTGCTCGTTTTCGTCTTTCAGCTTCAACCTGCATCTGCATAGCTTCTTGAACCCGACCAGGAAGTTTGATGTCTCCTGTTGATGTAGAAAAACAAAATTAATTTGACTTTCTCCTACACAATTTATTCTCCTATACAACTCCTGGAATGTAAGAGTGACCAGAGGAATTCATTTTACATACAATATATCTTCACTTTAGAGGAAAAGCACCAAATGAAATCTAAAATTGTTAAATTATTATAATCCCTTTATCACACTTCACAAATATAAAACTATATCATATGCTGATATCTGAGCTTTTTTTTTTTTTGCTCATTTCATATCAGTCATAATGATAAGTATTATTTAGAATAATTTAAAAATAATAATACTAATAATAATAATACATAATGATAATATTAATAATAATACAACTATGCCTCCTACTACTAATACTTATACTACTAATACTACTACTACTACAACTACTACTAATAATAATAATAATAATAATAAAATCAATAACAATAGTGGTAGGAATGTCAATAATAATATAATTTAATAATGATAACAATAATAATAATAATGATAATAATAATAATAATAACAACAATAACAAAACAATAACAACAATATAAATAACAATGGCAATGATGATGGATATTATCATTTTCATTTTCATTTTCATTTTTGTTGTTGTAATCTTCATCATCCCACCACCACCACCACCATAGTAATTACAAAATCTGCAAGATATAGATTCCTGGATATTGTGGAAGTTCAATTTATGACCTTCATAAAAAAATATATATAAATTGATTAAGAAGAAAAGATTCAATTAAAGACACTTATAACAACCTACCTATAGGAAATTCACTAAGTAAGATTATCAAACTTACGGATTTCATAACGGAGACAAGTGATGCCCCAAGCTTCAGAGGCTTTGTTGATTACCTCAACAATACCAATATTTAAATTTTCTCTCTCACGGAATACGTAATCCAGGGAAATTTTTCCCAATTCTGACCTGGAAAAGATAACGAGATATTAAAAGGCTTTCTTGATTACATTAACTGTCCCTATAGGTATATTTTCTCTCACAAATTACAGAGAAATTTTCCCCAGAGAAAAGATCAGTAGAGCATCAGACTATTTGTAGTGTCACATGGGTGTATCTTCAACAAACTGCTAGATACGTCAAATCAACAGTGCTCTTTCTTAGATCGGACCAAGACTCGGATTAACCAAGTAACTGAGCAACAACCACCTCTTATCTGTCTATATACTTCTAAATGCTTGAAAATTTCTTGCTTTGACTAAGTGACAGGAATAAAGAAGATAATATCAACCCATTAGTTACCAACTAAAATTACCCCTGATCAGCCATCAACGCTAGACAATATATTTATATTTTTTTCTGAAATCACTTCAAATGATTAAATGTATTGCAAAGAAAAAAATATTTTGAAGACAAAAAGTATTTTCACTGCAGATTCGGAAAGCTAGAAGGTACTTTAACTATAGTATTTAAAGTCTAATCAATTAGTATGGTGTTGATGTCCCTAGCACATACATCTATACAACAGGTTTCAAGGATGGGATTCCAGCAAGATGGAATATGACATCAAACATTACAGATTTATTAAAGAACCAGGCCAGAAGTCTACTGAAGTATCTACCTGGTCATTAGATGAATACTTTCACTGACAGATATGCAAAGTTCTGTACTCTCCATCCTATTTACTGCTCCCAAAGGTATGTCATATACTTGCTTCTGTTACAGTTACATTTTCTTCCTTTATACATATATCAGTTATTAAGGCATGAATAGTAAATAAATCATCTGCTTTGCAGAACCAACCTCATTGTAGTTTGTGCTAGCTGTGTGATGGCAAATTCTGGATCTTCTACTCCATAACTTGCTCGGTATGGATCCAAAATACGCAGATACAACACTCCATCTATGCTCAATGTCACATTATCTGTAGATGATCAGATAAAAATATGCATGTTAACACTTTAATATTTCCTTCTGAAAATATCAATACACAATAAGCAAGCATTATGTTCACCAAAAATTCTCAACAATCATTTCAATAACCATCATGAATAATGTCCAACACCATAAAAAGAAGGTCAAGAATGCATGCTGTGTTTCTATATACCATTTGCATTCACTGATATTCTTACTTACCAGAAGTAATTGCAGCTTGTTTTGGAACATCTATGGCAATTTCCTTTAAGCTTTGTACATATTTGACTCGGTCTAAGAAAGGAATCAGTACGTTAATTCCAGGTTCAAGTATCCGATGGAATTTTCCCATTCGTTCCACAACCCAAGCCTGTAATCAAAATAGAAAATATAGGTTTAAATAGAGACAGGTTACAGTTTTTGGTATGTCAGTAGCTCTGGACCAAAGGCCCATAAATGCCACAAAATGCAGTTGAAAATCAAATGTGATTAGAAATAACTGACATATCATTAAATAATATGATGGAAAGAGACATTTTAGCAGGGAATTCACTGGGGCCCCTCTACTTATATGCTATTCAAGTATAGTATAATTTTCTGTCTATATAAACAATTATTAGTAAAGCATAAACTGCAATCAATTTCTAACCAAGCAAAACTACGGTCAATTTACAATGAAGCAATAACGGAATCTTTGTCATCAATCTATAACTAGCTGTTCTTTAGTTGTCATTAATCAATTTTGTACACTGTTTAGACATGAATTAGTTCTGTATCTAACCAATTTATGTACAACACTCATGACAAAGACAAAGTCATTTTCCGATACATAATACTCAAATAAAAGCCTTTGCATCTACTCCATTTCTACTACTTCAATTTTTTTACTAAAAAAAATAACAAGTATGTGAACGCACAAACTATTAAATGGTTCCCCAAATCATATGACAACTAAAATAAATTCTGAATTTGTAATAATGATGCATAATTACAGACCTCTTGTTGTGGTACAAACAGCACGACAGTATTGAGTGGCAAATGTGATCTGTTTCTCACTGCCTGTACTGCAGGTGAACTTCGCGCTTCCTGTAAAAATACGGAAAAGTAACAACAATAAAATAAAAAACATCAACAATGACATCAACATTAAGAAAAATAACAATAATAATAATAATAATAATAATAATAATAATACCAATAATAATGACTATGACCATGATAGTGATAGTGACATGGATGAAGTTAAAGATGATAATAATAATAATAAACACTACTAACATGACTGACTCAAACACAAGATGACTGGCTGACTGACTGACTGACTGGATAGATTGATGAGTGGAAGACAGAACATAAGGAAAGAGAGAGCAAAGAAAGATAGGTACAATGACCAGACTGGGAAGTATGCACACTCCACATATTTTCCTCTTAAAAAGGGTACACTAGGTATTTTGTCAATGCTTTCCAGATGTCACACACACACACACACACACACACACACACACACACACACACACACACACACACACACACACACACACACACACACACACACACACACACACACACACACACACACACACACACACACACAATATATATATATATATATATATATATATATATATATATATATATATATATATATATATATATATATATATATATATATATATATATATATTCTGCAGACTAGTCATGAAGGAGAGAATGGAGTATGTTGATAAAATTCAGGATGTTGAATCTTATAGTTAATCTTTACAGTATGCACTAAGGTGCAGGAAATGGAAGATAAGATTCTTGTTGAGGACAAAAAGTTGTAGTCATTGGTACAAGAAATAATCTGCAAACATGAACACTAATGCCACAAATAAAGGAAAGATCCGGAAAGTCCAATTGGTTCTCCCAAGTTTCAGCTATATCTTACCGTGTATAAAGGGTAAAGACCCTGCTGGGGGGGGCAAAGCTCCCTATTAACCCTCCCCTCAGGCAGTAATTCCCAATCATCAATCATATTAACTTAGATTGTTGACTAAATTTTGTGATATGGAGTTGGGGAGTACGTCCATACTATAAAGAATTACCAGTTTTATAAATATTTGTATATCATACTCTAACATCACCTTGGTAGCAATTGGCCATATTGAGAGGCTAATATACAGAATATTACTAAAGATAGCCTACAATAAATAGGATATTACTGAAATGTAGTCGTCATGATACATGTAACTCTTACAAGCACTATCATGCATGATAAATTTTTATATAAATCAACATAAGAGTATGAACAATATAAAATTCAGATGCATAGTGCTTCTAAACGAACCATACAAATCACATTTTTGTGCTAAACTTCTGTACAAGATTTTTCTGTGTTCCATTCTGCCCAACCAGGAATTTTGCCTGACAGACTGGGATCACATAGTAACTGCCTTACTTTCCAATATCACTGAGATGAGTGATTTTACAGATTGAGTGACACACGACAGACTAATGGACAGACAGACAAAAGATTGATAGACCTTGATAGGTAAGTAGGTTCGTAGACAGATAGATAGACAGGTGGAGAAACATACTGAAAACATGTGCAAAGTAAAATTCCATTCTATTTATATAAAAACATGAGCAATAGTGTCTTTAGCTAAAATATTAAAAATACAAGTTTATATACGTTCCCATGTGGCTTCGATGCCCTTTTTATATCTTCCGTTTACCTTCATGAAGGTGTATTTCATCATAGACTTCATTGACCTATCTATCGTCTTTTACGAATCACGAGAGAATTTTCCCTCGCCTTGAAAGACATCAAAGGACAGAGTACAAAGAGGAAAGAAATACACTTTATGACAAGGAAAATCACTTATTCATACGAGCGTTATAAATGTAAGACACGACACCACCCATTCATTCCACTCGCTCCACCACAAGCATTGCCTCAGACACACAATTCTACGAAGCATATATGACAATCTGGCCGCCCTTTAAACGCCAGATACCAAGAGGAACACTAAATATTACCAGCAGACTTCTACACGGCCGCAAAGCTCCTCTTATAGTTGCACTAATCATCTTTGTGATTACTTCTTCCCTGCCTCTGGGTTCAGCCTCGTCAACTTGTTATGAAAACTTCTATTACTCCGTCTGCTACATGGGTTATAAAATTTATAATATTATCTATGTCTTGTCTTATGGTGACAATGCGTATATTATAAATGTATATTTTAATGATAACTGTGTAAATTTAGAGACTGATACGAAAAACAGTGGCAAAATCATTTTATATAAGAATGATGTTGGTAATGGCGACTTTATTTACTGATATTCATTTATTCACAAGAAATCTGTAAATATAAATATAACCTACATTTAGCAATAACTTCACTCACAAGCCTCGAAATTATGAAAGCCCCAGGTTTTATCGTATAAATTTTGTGCCTGCGTCCTCCAACCCTAAGCGTTCGGCCAATTCAGATTATACGGACGCATGTATACCCGGCTTTGACAGTTGGTAGAGCTTCTTCCAATGAATGGTGGTCATTGTAAAATATAATAATTGTTGCGAATGTTGAGCCATGAAAGGTATTATGGTGATGACAAAAAAATCCAGAGGCATTATCTGAATATGATTTAAAATAAAAAGTTTTGGCATACATTTTGGATTTCTAGCAATGGTTCATGCACAGTTAAAGGGACTTTGTATATACTTTAAATCGTCGTTGTTAAAGTGGTAGCCATACATATTAATTTACGACAACTTTGGCGAAGTCTAGTAAGCATGAGTAAGTTATCATCCATGATCATGTTGATATAATAGCTAAATGGTTAATTTTTTTCACCCACTCCCCCTCTCCTGTCACCAATGTGAGAGCCGTGTTAAAGAAAGGCTGACTTTGTGCCTGAGGGGGCCATGGGCGCGGTATATCTTACCATGGCCAATAATGAGGATTTTACACCCTCATTAGGGGCTTTGTGGCTTGCTCCACAGATTTAATTCTCCCGATTCCCGAGCCCAAACTCTCCTTTGACCACGACTCCGAATGCTGCTACTACTACCCTAGCCTTCATGTCTACTGTCACCTCAGTCCAGTCCAAATCATCCACCCAGGCCATTACTTAACCTCCAAAAAATATTCCTCTTCCCCAACATCCTCTACTTCACCTCCTCCACCCCACAATTTTCTGCACCTACCACCCCCTCCTCTCCTAATACCACTCTGCAGCCTTATCGTCCACCTCTCCGCAGTATACCTCTCTCAACACCACTCCCTCTTCCACATGTCCCCTCCCATATACTATCCCCACGTCTACAAACCTTTTGAAACTCAGTGTAGCCCAGATACAATTTTCCGTTACCCATCTACTTACTCTGACAACTGTCTCCTCTTCCAGCAATGTCTAAAAAAAGGCAAAGTTTCCTTCCACATCCGCCATCTTGTCACTGTTATATCCGAATTTCAAGTTAAAGCGTTATCAGCCCTAGATGACTTCACAGACAAACTCATTCCTACCTAGCCCCATCCCTCCCTCAATACCTGTACCGGAAATGTGTCCATCTCCCACACTAACTGCCCTGTCTACGGCAAGGATTGGTCAGATTGAGGAGACCTGATCGCCTACTTCATGGTCTCATGATACAGTTTAAGTACACTGAGTTCAGTGTTATACCATTCCTCCCAGGACCCGCTGTCAGTCTACTAATATTGTTGAGATTACTTTCCGTAGACATGACCTCACTTTTAATGTTCATATTGGCGAAGAGTCCATACTGCTCCGACCATGTCAACACCCCCCCCCCCTCCCTCGCCAGTGTCAGAATTGTTGGCCATGAGCGTGACGTCACTGCTCTGTGCCACGCTCATGTGTATTTCATAAGGACTGTCCTACCTACAAGTTTGAGTCCGAGGTGGCAATTCTCAGATTCAACCTTGGCCTCACTTGAAGAAGCACGCAACAAGGTCTTTCTAACTCCCAAGATGTTTCTACATCTCCGCCAACATCTCTTCCCATTCCCGCTACTACTCCCTCCCTTTCCCAGTCAAATTCTTTTGCCAT